AAGAGGCAGAGATGGATAAGCCGATGGAAATCGATGAGATACGAATTGACCCTTCACCTTTCCAGCTGGTGGAGAGAACTTCATTGCACAAGGTTGGTGGAGGAAGACTTCCCCCGGAATCCTTGTAAAACACCAAGCAGTGTGTCGAATCTTAACACCCTGGACTTTCTGTGCATTCAGAAATTTTGTACATGATTGGAAATGCATAATCTAATCTTAATTGCCCATCAGTTGTTGTTCTAATCTTATTTCAGTAGGTGTTATGTCCAAATATGAACCAAATTTCTCCTGCTTGAAATATCAAATGTTCGTGCATTAATCAGTGCCTTATATTCAAACCATGATTTCTCACATCTGTACCTGCAAACAGAGCTGCATACATGTTGATGGTGGATCGGAAATAAAAATAAAACGCTGATTTTCATATTTATGCTGCTAATGAATGATAAAATATGCAAAAAAAAATCAAATACATTGGCATTCGTTTTTAGAAAGTATTACACAGCAATAAGGGCTGAGTTTGAATCTAAGTTTTAGTTTGAAGTTTCCATGTCCTCTTATACATTATTACTTGGATATTCCAGATTGTCAAAAACATGGTTGATTATTTCGGTCAAGCCGACAGAAATCAATGGTATACAAACGTCATCATTCAAAATTGTACTTGCACATTCATAGCTATGTGTAAAAGACTGGTGACCTATGCAGGGTGTACAAAGAGAGGACTTTTTTATTAAACTTTTTTCTCTATAAAACCAATACTATTCCCTGTATGACCAAGGTGCTTATTCATCATTCTTATCATTAAGTAAAATAAAGATGTTATAAAACACCTATTAATTCATCTTGTTGTGCAAACTGTCAAAAAATTATCTGTACATTCAAATAAAGTTGATAATACAAAGCATCTTTGCATCGTTAGTGTTTGCACAGTTATTGCTTGATTGCTGCTTGCTGGTAGTTTTGTTTTTCTACCAGAAAGCAGCTAATTTTGACAAAACAGCCATCCCATGTTGCAGAAAACCTTGATGTGTAGAATTTCCCAGGTTTGCTGACTCTAAGCTAATTGATCAATTTTGACACTTCTCTTAGAACCTCAAACACAGTCTTTTGTTAAATTGTTCATATTTTTATTTGTTAGTCTTTATGATTTAAAACAAAGTATTTTACTACTTCATTGCTTAAGGTGAGTATCATTCTTTTCAGTGTGCATTTAAATAGCCGTGTGAAAGAAAATATAAACATTCCAGAAATGTCTTTTAGTTGCAAATTTTCTAACATTATGCAAATCTGCTTTCTGGTAATGCTTCCACACACTCATTAGACTTCTGCTTTTTTATGTATTCAGCAGTTGGTGCCACAGGATTGAATTTCCATTGTTATAAATCTTAGTGGATCCAGGATTTTCTGTCATTTTCAGGAGGCGAATAAACACCATCTTAGCGCTATTATTCTTTTTTGTGATTTCATTTCCATGGTAATACACATAATACCATGCTCATTCATGTGCAAAAGAGTCCTTGTGATTTAGATGTACTGATGCATACAAAGAGCTCCGCACAGTGGGACCTCAGCTGCTGTATGAAAAATATAGTTCGTGTATTCAAAATATGCTCAAGGACTTTCCCTTTGTGTTGAGTCTGAAACCACTTTGTTCTCTTTGTGTCTAGACAGAGCAGACAGAGAAGCACTGAGCTTGTAAATCGTCTGAAGTCAGACAGATAAAAAGAACTGTCCTTTTAGAAGCAGTATTTTCTGACAGTTGGCTGAGTTACCTTTTCACCTTGTCTCTACAGACTCACACATTATTCTCCCTGCTTGGACTAAGTCATGCTTATGTGACCAGCATTGGAAAACTTGTGGGGGTGGTGGCTTTAAAAGAGGTAAGAAACTTCATTCAGAAAAGTTACTTTTTCCCTTACCTAACTAGAAAAGTCACTGTTTCTGCTTCTCTGTCCAACCATTACCCTACATGTGACACAAAATCTCAGCATTTTGATCATATAACCAAATACTGACACCCAACTCTTCTAAATAAATAAGGAAAAACAATGAGTATAGATGCTGCATACATTTGTGGTCAGTTTCCAATTTGGCCAAACATTTGACCTTCTGATACAAACCGTATCCTATTGTAATTTATAAAAGCATTAAAACATATTTTTTAGCATTTCTGTTATGGTAAATGATTATTATTAGAAGCAGGGAAGAGTTTTACTGGGAGATGTGGGTGGCAGTGGAGATGGTCAGAAAAGGAAGAACTCATGCATTGTCTGATGACAGTTTTTAAATTTATATTTTTGATTAAATCAGTATGTGTATGTCATTTGAATGTGAACCTGGATTGTGTATAAAGCCTGTTCTCATTCAAGTATGCTACAATATTTATATTTTTGCTCCATGTGTTTAAATGTTGACAGTGTTCAAACTGATACCTTTTAGACTAGCTTTAAGTAGTTCTGTTGCATCTTTTCAACTATGAAGCCAAAATGTAAATGCTTTTTCCAATTCCTTTAGATTTAAAAGTCCCTGAAACTGTCTGAAATTATTGGCTTTAATAGTATTGTGTTTGTTAATGGGTGGCTTTGATTTCTATAATTTTCTGAGTCTGAGGGACTTGTACTGAAATGTCATCTTTTTTTCAGAATTGTCTTATAAATCCTACTTTTGTAATTCTTTGACCCAATTCTTTTTCTTTTATTTCCAATTCTGTTTCCCTTTCTTTGCTTCCTCAGCTCCAGAAGGCCATCGAAGGCTCCACGCGCTCCGGTGTCCGGCTCCGGCCCCCTTTGGCCAGCTTTCGTGACATCAGCAAACACAAATCTGTCCCTAAACCTCCACCTTCTTCTTCCAGTGCTACTTCATCTCCCACTTCAACCTCTCCACCGTTGTCTCAAATTATCCCAGAGCCTTCTCTCTCTTTAACCCCTGACCACAACCAACACCAGGATAACAATCATCATCATAATCATCACGAGCATGAAACAGAGGTATGGATTGAGGGTTTACCGAAGGAAGTAGAGGGGTGCAGCAATAGCGTCCGCTGCAGCAGCACTTCAACAAGTGGCTCAAGAAGTAGAAGTTGCAGCTCCAACAGCAATCTCACCCTCCCTCCATCTTCCACTCCTCCTCCTGCCCCTCCTTCAACAACCCCTCCTCCATCTCCTTCTATCGCTCTCTCCACCCTGAGGCCTTCACAGAGACTCCTTCAGGTGGTAGAAGACAGTGATGATGAGCCAATGGTTTAGCTTACAAACAAAAAATGTTTTTTTTTATACTAGAAATTTGTATTTAAATATTTTTTTTTCCATTCTTAACTTATTGTCCTGCTATTTGGGCACTTTATGTACCTCTCTTTACCACACCGCTACAAATTCTTTGAGGTTTAGAGATTTAGTTCTTGTTAGGTATCTAATTCTCCAGCTAAACCTTTGCCATCACTTCTAAACATGATGCAGTGGTGTTGTACCTCAGGGATCAATCCTTTCCCCCTTTTACTTTCAATTTACATACCTCCTTTACACCAGCTTAACCACAACTTATAGCATATTGCATTGGTTGAAAATAGAAAATGCAACTAAAAATTTTGTTTATGATTGTTTTAGAGCCAAACCAGCATAGAGAATTGTGACAGTATGTTCATAATAATCTGCTTGCTGGAAATGTTTTGCTTTTCATTAAGTATCCCATAGAAAACAAGAAACAATAAGAAAAAGCATCCTATGCTGCTATTCGATTTTTATTAGTTAATTTGATTATTTCTGTTTAATAACTGTTTCCCAATCAAAATGAGGCTGCATTTTATCTATTTATTTTTAGCAACTCTGTTGAAAAATAAGCAAAATATTGTCTGGCAATATCCAGAGAAAGGTTTCTGTAGTGCCACATTTCCTGATTGTTCTTGTCTTACTATTTAAAATGATATCAGAACAGGTGAAGTTAATTTGGCACAAACCTTTTGGATAGCAGCACAGCATTGAAGCTGCTCAGTCCACCATGGAAGACTGGCCAAAGCCCCACAACGACTTCTGTGCTGACCTTGTGGAAGCAGCCGCAGAGCTCATTTCTCCATGGCTAAGTTGACAAATGAAGCAGCTAAAGGCGACTGACAACACCAAACTCTCTCTAATAAAGATTCCTTTTGTCTTTTTTTCTTTTTCTTTTACAAAGTCACATCCCAGAATGATTCTTTGAATAATTTACAGTAGAATATTTCTGAGAATCAAATCGGACAGAACAAATACCAATCTATGGCATCCTCAGCAAAGTGATGGTCAGTATCCATGACAGTAAATGACAGCTGACAGTTTGTCGTATAACATCTACACATGATAGAGATTCAGACAAATTCTGACAGATGGGAGTCTTATAAATTAGAATTTAAATTCAATTGAAATATTTAAAGGAGGAACAGTCAGGATGAATTTATTAAGGGGGCTGGAAGTTAAGGGTCACACAGAAATGTGCCTTGCATCAGGAATAGAAGGTTTTATTGCATGTCTCAAATGCTGGTCTGTATTTGAAATCTGCAGTTTTCTGTTACTGAAAGACGGTTTATTTGGATATTAGAAGCTTGGTGCATGTTCTAATTCAAATTAGCACCTTAGAGAATTTCTTAATAGAATGCAGTCATTTCATCCACAGATAATTTTATAAAAGGCATGTGAAAAGAAAACTTGCACATCAATCCACACTCCAGCTATCAGCAAGGTTTTGAATTTTATTTTCTGCTTAAATGTAATTTTTACTGAAATACATGCATTTCAGTATAGAAATGGATCTGTCCTTGTGATGCACCATTTCCAGATTTCATTTTACATGTTTGCACTATTAAGCTCTCTTAACCCAAAGTTAGTCCTCAGGTGCTGTTTTAAATCTTTAAATTGATCAGTTTTTTTAAAAAAAAATAAACAAAAAACAGATTTTATGTTCAAATAAAACATGTATCTGTATCTTAAACAGGTATTCAGTCTCTATGTCTTGTATCATCTGTTTATCTGGGGTAATAATATTTATTTATTTACTTATGTATTTTTTGGTGTTTCTGCAGATTCAAATGTTTTCCAGATGTTCATATAACTGCAAAATAGTAGATTAATAAAGCTTTATTTGAATGTATATTTGGAATTTATTTTGCCTTCACTGAATCTTAACTTTTAAGTGCTTGCATCTAAGTTCTTGTATGTATAAACCATCATTACTAAAACATTTTTTTTCTTGTTCTTGCCACCTTGAGTTACTGAATATAACAGAAAATGAGTGATATTTTTCAGTTTCATATTCATTCAGTGGGTTTTTTAATGACATTTTAAAATATCTTACTTTCTGTGGACATAACACATAACAGATCTCTATTAAAAGTCTTTTTTATCTTTCACTTTATTGGAAATGAGTTGGTGAATTTTACCGTTTTATATTCCCTATTTCCGTGTCATTATCTAAGTGTCACTTCTGTAGTTGAGCTTTAGAGCAGCTCACAGGAGAAGATCTTGATACAACATGAAGACAAGAAGAGGGCAGATGATTATAAGAGCAATTAGGGGCTTCAGGGTCTTGATCTCTGGAGACTAAGAATGAAATGAAAGTCACATGTTGCTTTGGCTTTTTCTTTACTATTTGTTCACATTCATGGATTCATACTTTTAAAGTAAATTCTCTCATATGTAAAAGAAATCCAGGTAGAATTTTTAAGTAAATATTTTAGCTTGAACCTATATGGATTTTGCAAAGCTAAAGCATTCAAAATGATCAACCAGACAAGGACTATACTGCCTTCACAAAGCAAGAAAATATTTAGGTTAATGAATGAGGCAAATGTGCCGAGTGGAACAGCTTCAGGATTTTTTTCTGTGGTGCTAAGGAGGACCTGCTTTATTATTAATTTCACTCCTAAGAAATGAATCAGAAAGCCGACAAAACCTTTACATTTTGCATTATCTCTACAAACAGAGACAATTGGTGAAGATGGTAAAATGTGTAATTGGTCAGAAAATAAATGATCCTTTTGTTTACAATATCACAACTGTGTACTACAAGGTTTGATAGATTTTATAGTTGCACAGTTTATCATATAGGAGTTATCCTTGCAACATGAATCTGACATGTGTGCACTTTTAGTAGCCAAGAAGATGCCATGCCCCACAAGGAATGGAGAGGATGTCATAATGAAAGTAACCAGTCCAGAGATGGGTGGTGATCAATATTTCCATCATAATATTCAGCACTAGCATCACTATTCAAATTCTGTCACTTTTCAGTGTGCGATTATTTTATGGTAAAAATAGTTGGCTGTTAAGAAATATTTTACTGATACAAACAAAATTCCTGTTGCTTTTCCTTTGTCTGATATGAAGCTGTAATGTTTTGTCATTGTGCAGAACGTGCTTAAAATAACCAGCACTGATATGAGTTTGTTTCCCAGAATATATATTTTACACACAAAGCAGCTACATTCATACACACATACATACAGTCTTACATTCATACAGATACATATCAGTTTATTGTTTTTTTTCCCTTTTATTGTAAAAAAAACAATTTGTTATATTATTACTTTTATACTGCGTTATACTGTTAGGGCTAGGTCACTGTTAAAAAGCATGCATTTTTTGGTTGTGGTCAGATGGTGTATTTGCAAATAACTCAAAGTGCACGCCCCAGGTTGCTCTGAGGTTTGAGTCTCCACTTTGCATTAAGCAGGAATGCAGTCCAACCAAAATGCATCAATTAGCAAACCAAACAGCTCTCCAGCAGTCTCTCTGAGACTTCTGTTGCTCCAAGAAACAACAGGAACCAAACTCTGAATTATTGAACAACCCATTTTTGTATCCATAATTATTGTATTGCACAGATGTTTTTTTTATTTATTTTTATTTGCCCTTGTATTCATCTCTCAGTTTTATCTCTCTGTTTTGGGGAGTTTTGCATCCATCCTTTTATCCCCTATTTGGTTTCCAGTCCTGGCACGTCAGTCTGATTGGCCCAAACATTAGTAATTCCTCATATCTTCAGTTTCTGTGTTCCAGCAGAGTAAGACTTCTTGTCCCTTCCGTCCTTTAATATTACTTGTTCATAGTCTTGTTAAGGTCCACTTTTTTGATGCTAAACTGGGAGGCTGGGGGTTGATGGCATCTAGTTTGTATACATTACATCCATCATTTCCAGCTGAAGTAGCGTTTACTCAGGTTTAGAAAGATAAATATTTGAGAGAAGGAAGGAAGGGATGGGGTAGTAGCTTGATTAATTATTGAAGTCTTAGTCTTTTTGTGGCCGTGTGACTCAGTTTGTTGCAACGACAACAATGGAGCCCTCTTCCGCCTCCTCGTCTTTCTCTTCGAACGATTGGACGACGCAAGGGGTGACATCGTAAGGTATCCTCTCTGGAATGGGTTCTGCAGGTTGCGCTGGTGTTCCTGGGCTTGAACCTCTTGTCGTTGGGGCTTCCTCCCTGAGCGGGGATGGTGTTAAAGAGCATGGCTCTGGCTCTAAGGTCAGTGTTATCTCCTCTACCTGTAAAATGTAATCAAGGTAATTTATACTGTCATGTAATCAAATTTATTAACATTTCAGCTGCTCTTGTGACAATAAAACTTTTGAGCAAAGGTTTTAAGGAAAGAAAACATTTCAACAAACCCTTGTCAGTTCTTCCTCTTCATGTTGCTCCAGAATCCCTTCAGATTCAGGTTCCGGTTCCTCCCCGACCGTCTCTACAACCCCTCCAACCATGTCAAGCATCTGACCACTCAGCTGACCAACGATCTCCACCTGAAATCAGATGAGATTACTGATTCCATTGAATTCCAACTTCTTGTTTCAAAGCGGTAACAATTTGTCATGTTTAACAGGTGTGTATATACTACACTTTAAAACCCCAATGAAAGGCAAGAATATGGAACAGAGTAAGTAGGGAAGAGGGGCAAGCAGTTTCCTGTCGCTACCCAGCTTGGATTTCCTATGCAGGGCATCAGGGATAAACAAGACTTTAGTGGATGCAAAAGGTGCAGATGCTGAATCCAAATGCCTCGAGTTGTAACCTTGCAGACTTTCAGACATGCCATCATAGAGGCCAGGATGATTTACCCAGGACTGTCCCACAAAATTCATCAAATCCACTTCAAGTTGCCATGCAGACCTTTGGGAATTCGCCATGCAGACCTTCATCCTGTCTCCTACCTGGAAGACATCTCTGGCAGTTCATCACTCACTGCACTACAGTTGTGTGCTAAATAGGCCTGCTGATATAAAAAACCCAAACCAATCAGACAAAAAAATTAGTATATACATACTCTCTTTACCTTTGATGCAATGTAACAAAAACATAAATTTCTGTAACACATAACAGGTTGGCAGTGATAGCCGTGACATCTCAGCCTTATAGTGACTAAAGACAGATTTGTATGCTTGTGACTGTATGTGCTTCAAACACCCTTGTTTCCTTGTTTTCTGTCAAACCTGTTCTGTCAACCCTTATTAAACCATCACCTATTTTGCAAATCTGTTCATTTTGAGTCAGCAGGCAAATGCATACCTGATGGGCCTCTACCTGCGCAGCCCCCCACAGGTCCGCTAGCCGGGGGTGAGTGGGAGGGCCAAGGCTGTGAATGGTGCTGTTAGGAGTGACTTGGAGGGAAGGGGAGCCACTGTGTAGCCTGTGCTCCAAAGACTGGAGAAACAAATGAAAGGTAAAGGGACAAGCAGAAGACAGCCCAAGTCAAGTTAAGTTAACTTTATTTGGATAACAAAAGATAAAAAAAGTGCAAAATGCTTTACCTCATAAAAACATAATACAGTGACCACTTATGAAAAGCTGTAGACATTACATTTTGTCAAATACATTCATCATCACAAAAATATATAAATATTTTGTTATCACTGTTCCAGTTATTATTATGCTGAATGCTGCTTTTCCATGTTTGGTTCTGGTTCTAGAGATGCAGAACACGTTACAACTAAAAGAATAATCAGAATAATACTTGCTGTTTCTGTTAGAAATAAAAGCAATAAAATCATGCTTTTAAGTTTTGTTTGAATTGACCCTTGCATTTTAAAGAAATGTAAGTCATCTTATTAAAGTGTGCACTGCATGCCTGTTGTTGTTGGTACTGCAGAAACTGTTGCTGCTGGTAGTGATGAAGATGTAGCTGCTGGAGTTGACTTTGTTGCTGCAGTGCAAGTTGAGCCTGGTGCTGCTGAAGGTAACCGCTAACCGTTCCCTCATACCCATCTCCAGGGGTACCTCCTGCTCCACTACCACCACCTGCAACACCCACAAAATGTCTAATATCTTGTGCTCACACAATCATACATGCGCTTGGAGACTAATTTAGTACAAAAGGTTTTAAGAGGGTAATTAATCTTTACCGCCAGCCATGATGTAGGAGCCTGCGGCAGGTGAAACCACGCCCGAGGGCTGGCTGGTGATTGGGTCCCAAGCATCAGAGGAAGACAGGCAGTACAGGCCCTGTGAGACGTACGTGTGAGGCCAGACATCTGCAGAGGAGTGATGGAGCACCTGGTCTGTTCAAAGATGCACAGAAACATGGAGATGTGAGGTAAAAACAAAAAGACTTTTCAGGATTGGCGAAGCAATTTCATTTATTGACAAGATTTACTCACATTGACTTTAATAGGAGTGTTTTTGATCTATAAACATATTTGTTATACATCAAACATGTGGACATTGTGGAAAACCATCTCCTTTGTCCAATAAAGCTGTAATTGTTGCTGTGTTTATGTGCCGTACACATGTGTTGATGTTTTATGCTAAATGAAGCCTAGCAGAGCCCCATATGGTGGTGTTAATGAAAGCAAAGCTGCAGAGCTAAGTCCTTGTGCTAACCTACAAGATCCCGCAGGGCTTAGACAAAGTTCTACATGGCTAAACACCAGTGAGAAAAGAAATGTTTCCTTTCACGGTGGCACTTGGCATAAAAATCCTGGAGTTGCAAATTCATTGCAGATTATTTTGGAGTTTCTAGAACCATCTGTAGTTGTCATATAACTCCTTTATTGCAGTTGTGTAATGGTACTCTCTTTGATATTAAGTAGGGTTTTCTAAACCATCTACTTTTTTCTGATTTAATAATGCCTTACAATGGAGCAGTGCCTTTTAACTTGAGCCCATCAGCTTTTAGCTTCAAAAACAAGTATAAAGAATGCTCTTCAATTATTTGTGTCAATCTCATTTTCCTTTATATTTCTAAGTCAGCTCTCTCACACAGCACATGTTAAACCCCATCTGATGTTTCAGAAATGACAGGCTGTCATCCGGATTCGTCATTTGGAAGTTCCTGACTAAGTGCCCTGCAGGAGTCAAAACCAGAAATGTGCAGCAATGTGGCTGACCTCCAAAAGTACTTGACTTTTGGCTAAAAGTGTGACTGACAGGGTTCCTTTTTAGTTTTTAACACTTGCATTCAGAAATTTAATGTGACACCAAAGACATATGACTAAATAAGAGATATTTAAAACCATTTTGTTTTCCTCACTGTAGGAGGATGAAATCTGTTTTATGGGTGCTTTGATTCTAGCAGCCTCAAGTATAAAGACTTGCAAGGATTCCTAAACTTTAATTGAGAAATTTGACATAATTCCATCTAAATATTCAAATGGTGGAAATTAAGAAAGATGGACACAATCAAACCTTTATGTGGGCATTTTGTGACACCAATAAAGTACATAATTCTTACTTACTCACTTATAACAGTATCAAACAGATTTTAAGCAATATCATCAGCAAAAAGTCAAGCTAGTAGCAATAATGTCACAAAGACATATGGCATCTGAGGGAGCATAGGCTTGATATTCAACAGTAATAATACTAATAGGATAATTAAATGTATTTGCTCATCAGGAAAGGACCCATCTTACAATTAAACACACTCTCGCTTCACACATCAGCATTTCCAATAGCTTCTTTTAAGGCTAAAACTACTGGTGTTAAAGATATTTTCCGATTATTATATTTAAAGTTTTGTATGAAGAAACAATTTGTCAATATTTCACTCGCATGTGAAAATGACTATAAGCAGATGAGCAATTATTCAACCATACATCTTTGAAAAGCAGATGTGGGGCCTCTTGTACAACCATGGAGAATGCAGCAAATGATTTCTGGATGATTAGCCAACAAAAAAACACTTTTCTTTTCTAGCAGCCATTGTATAGTGTGTACAGCGGTGAAACCAACAGACAAACCTGGAGGTCTGCTTGGATTGCTAGGTGATGGACTGGGCTTTGCTAGGTTTGTTAGGTGAGATCAATCATCATAAGCTCATTGCCAAATAAATCGCTGGGTATTACCAGGCAGGTAGAAGAAGCATGCAGAAATTTAAAGCTCATTTACCTCTGCTGGTAATACTCTCCTGGTTGACCTCGCTCAGGTGAGCGACGCTGCCCTGGTTCGAGCCAGCTCCCATGCTGTCTCCATCCATCGAGTTCCAGCCAAACAGAGTCGCCTCAGAGATGGCAAACTGCTGCATAATACCTGAGGAGGGGACAGAGAGTCATCAGTGCAAGCTCAGAGGCAGTAGGGCTCATGTTAAAAAGTCTAACATGCAACAGTATGATGCCTTATCTTAGTAATTAGGGCTGGAGTGCATAATAAGAATCTCAGACACTGCTTTGCTAGTACATACAGGTGTTAATTTGTAATTAAAGCAACAGAGGTAACAACAGTCATCAACATGGAGAACCAGGCAGCTTTGAGAGCAGTGAAGGAGAATATAGAGGGAAGAGTTTACTCCAAATGGGAAATCTAGATTTGTTGAAAACAAGTAAATGTAAGCCTAATCAACCAGAATAACTTATTTCACCAGTATATTTGTGAACCATATAAACAGCTGGTCTTGAATATATTCAACATAACACAATCATTTGTATATTGCATAAATAAAAGTCAAGGTGTTTACCTGCTGCAAAGCGAGCCTCCTTCTCGCCATCACTGAGATCGCTGTAAGCATCGTTTTCCAACCTCCTCTCCTTTTCCCGCTGCAGGTTGGCACGCCCTGTGACCCCGAGCGGCCCCGCCGACGGTTTGCCCCAGCTCTGCCACTCAATCATGTGGGCAACCCGACCCTGGGCCATGGCAGTGGGTTTGGTCACCTTGTCCTTCATTGACCGTGTCACACCTACAGCAAGTTTGAGGTTGGCAGGAGTCGCAGGCCAGCAACAGACACACATAGACAGAGACACGCACACCAGACACACACATACACAAACTGTCAAAACATCTTCTGGCCATCTAATAAAAAAATACACCTCCAACTGAGGCACGGGGAAGAGGTAGAATGAGAATGAGAAACTGTAATGTAGTGGACCTTTTTAATCCTACAGACTATGACAGAAGATCTCAGTGAGGCATTAAATGTACTGTAATGCATGAACTCAAGTGACAAGGTGTGAGATGATCAGTAAAACAGAGCACCTACTTTGCTTTGAATAAAAATACGCTCACTCTGCACCAGTAAGTCACCTTATTTTTTTCAAAAAGTAGATTAGATTAATTAACTTCCTTTCTATGCCAACAAAAGCTCAGTAAAAGGAAGGCAGGAGCAGCTGTGATTTAAATGTGCGGTTCAAATGCACTGCCATGGAGAATTGAGTAATACTGCAACTTGACCAACAACAAACTAGCAACTGAATTCTGTAAATGCATGTGGCCACTCATAAAAGCCTGGATGTGGTAGAGCCATCTCCTTTTTAAAGAGAGCCTTTCCTGTGTTTTCTCTGGATGAAATGGATACACATTAACTAAGATTCTTTTTATGGGATTTTTTATGAATCTCACTTTTTTTAAAATATTAAAATGTTAATAAATTGGACAACTGATATTAAGCTTTCTGCATTTTTTCTTATAAAGTTTTAAGTTTTAATGTAGACTCATTTGAGTCAGTCAAACTGAATTAAACTAAATGAATTCAGTTAAATCTAGATAAATGTAATCAAAATAAATTTAGCTGAGATGAGCTTGTTTAAAATCTGTTTTTCTACAATAAGATGAACACCAATTGTATTTGCTGAATTCATATGCTTTCTTTTGTCAGTGGAAACCCAAAAATTACTCAAATTTTACTGTGTGAATAGATTAAAAATGGTGCACTGTTCACTGATTGACATGAATAGTATCCTTAATGTAACTTGACCTAAGGAGAATGTAGTGATAAATTTATCATTCCAATAAACCTCCAGAAAATATTGTCATCACATTTTAGGTCTATATTTTACTTTCTTAAGGAGAATAATGCTTCCCTCTTAAATCTTTGTCCAATTAAGACGCAAATACTGGATTCAAACTAGAGGCATATTCTTTAACTCAAATGGGTACAGAATGGCTGATTGATAGAAAAAATTAATTAAAATCAAGCAGGCATGAATAAACAGAGACAGAGCTTTGGAAATGACTCCCCGGGTCCACGGGGCAGGTTTCAGGCTGAGCTATACATAGACACAATTGTCCCCAAAGACAAAAAGAGTCCATCTCATTTGAAAATCAAACTCTTACTGCGGAGCTTAATTGGGGTGGAAATAGGAATGGAGTAAATGGGGATGAGGGATGAGGGAGGGTGTTGGGGTTTTGGCAATTCAAATGATTCTATGCACTGTTAAGCAAATCCAACACATTTCTTTTAAATACACTAGACATAACAATTGTCTTTTGTTACAAACACTTTAAGATGCTACACAATGCCAAGCACAGAGCGCTACAGTTGGAAGCAAAGAGCACAAGAGACGTCACAGAAGAAGAACCGACTACTGGTAGTCACAACACTGCAGCGACTTCACAAATATTTAACACCAGCACTGCCACATTACAGTACACTACATTCCCCAACACGCCTGTGGTGATGCTTCTGTAGCCAGTTAAAGTAAGTTATATCACTTACTTTAGTTTCTTTGAAATCAAAGACCTGATTGGATTTCCATCAATGACTCTGATATGTGTCATTGACGTCAGTTGTTGATATCAATGAGAGAGAGGAGAAAAGTAGGAAGTGATATAGGAAGGGGCACCCACAGGGGCGGTCATGTTGGTTCCAAGCTCCTTCTCCTCCTGGTCAAGAATGAAGTCGTCTGTTGAAGCAAGGCTGGATTTACAAAATCTGACATTTGTTCCTAAGGTTAAGAGATCATTTATGTGCTTTCTTTGTGTGTGTGTCAGATGGTTCTTTGGTTTACCAAACACTCTAAAAAAAAATACTTTCTGTGATTGAGATTTATATTTCATGGTAGGAACCAATAACCATTTGAGTAACACACCAAGAAACAAGAATAATCTTTTCCACAAATGAAAGCTCAGACCTTCTCAGTCAACAACAACTTCATCCTCGACTCACTGTGGAGCATGTGGAGGCAACATGGGGGCTGTTTTACCACCTACTAGCACAGACACACACCTGACACACCTGTCAGAGAGGACTTAGCCAGGGCACCAATCCCGTAGGAGTTGGTGGACTTCCTCTTGAGTCGAGGCAGAATGGAAGTAGTATCCTCCATAGACAACTAAAGAAAGAAGGCAGGAGTAAAGTATGGTTGAATTCAAATGTTAGTGAGCAAAGATATGAAAATGGGAGATAAAGTATGAGGAGTAGTGAAAGTTGTCAGTGATAAGATAAGGAGATGGAAAATCAATGTGACGTGGAAAATGACAGAATAATAATAGACAGGGAAGATGAATAAGAGAGAGGATTTAAAAAGAAATTGGGGTGAAAAGACCAGGTGATTGAAGATTTAGAAAACAATTTGAAGGAGATGAAATAACAGAGGAGAGAGATTACTGGAAAAAGAATAAGAAAGGAGGGTTAATTATTTTAGTACATTGTAAATTGAATACAAGCATCTTTGATTTAAGAAGAAAATCATATGATAGCTAAAGGAGCACTGATGATGTAAAAGTGATAGAGCAAAGGTTTGAGTGAACACACTTTGTATTTAAAATACATCAACCCCAACTGAAGAAGGATTCTCTGTGTAGAAAATTATTAAAGATGTGGCTCATGCAGTAGTTGTTAAAAGACGCTACAGAGGGAAATAACAGTTTAGCAGGAAATGTTTGGACGACACTGAGAAATTCACAGCAACATTGACTGTGAATTGGCTGGTGATTCGATCCAGTCAGTTTTAAGCCTGAATGTTTGGGAACTCAAAAATGTCATGTTTTATTATTATTATTATTATTATTATTATTATTATTATTATTATTATTATTATTATTATTATTATTATTATTATTATTATTATATACACCGTACCACCATACATAAGCATCATTAGGTATAGTTTTCAGTGAGGTATTTAAAAATAAAGTCAGCAAATGCACAGAAAAATAAGAGGATTTTTAAGAGAAAAAAATATTTTTTCTACAGCTTATCAAGAACTTTTTCTATTTCAATCAGCTTGTCAGGCACAAAAAAAGAGCAAGATCTAAACCAGATAACAGGAAGGCCAAAGATAACACAGCAAAGTTGATCCGTTTCACCCTTTGAGTTTTCAAGCCTTGTCTTTCATGACACATACTGCATTTGGAAATGTTGGCATGTTCTTCAATCACATGTTTTACTGACTTAGTCTGAGATCCAGCTTTGCATCTGCACAGTGAGCCAGCCTCATGATCCTTCACAACACAGCAGCAAATCTACAGCAGGATGACTGAATAAAAGAAGAATCTGTAGATTGAATCTGTAGGCTGTAGATGACAGACATTATCTCCTTACTTTACTGCAAGACTCGAGATACTGCATTCATTTGGTACGGCTACAATTTTTAGCTACTTTTCATTCAGAGATTGGTGTTTTTTTGTGTTACTCTTGAAGCTTTTCTTAACCACCAATGTACCGGCTATTTTCCAAAGTTCCCATTTATTTTAGTTCTGGCCAAGATAAGCTAAGTAACTATAAAAATTTAGCCTGAATAAATTTAGATTTCACAAATTTAATGAACAGAATACAACATTTTGCCATTTCTAAGGTTAAGGTGTTTGATTATAGACAGCATCCTTACATTTGAAGGAAAAGGCAGGCAACAGAGAAGAGGATCTGGACTGTGTCCTCCAAGAGGACAACCACACAAAGCATACCACTACAAACTGGAGTGGTTATCCATAACAAAGCTCTGATCTTAGGCCATTTGGAAGCTGACCCAAAACAAAATCAATAGGTAAATCTATCAAATATCAAGTAAATGTAAGCAAACTCTTGAATTTGTAAAATAACATTTTTGGGAGAAATTTAATATCAGACATTTAGCAGAGAAAATCCTTTGATAAAACATATGTACTGTAAATATCTGGTGCATATTGTTATGTATGCAACATCTAATTTGATCATCTCTACATGGATAATCTGACATTCAGCTCAAAACATTTGGCATTGAATCGACTGAGTTACTGTTGTGGTGACATTTCTTTTTATAAGTACATTATAAAATAATTTATAAATATTGATATATTTGTTGTTCCCTCTGTTCACTTTGCCAAGCAGCTGATATTTAGAATTCACTTGTAAAACATTTTTTGTAAAAATCTTAAGCGTTCTATCTTCATATATTGCACCGAATGGTTTTAACATTCCAAACAAATTCTGGTCTCTCACTCCTCCTTAACTTTACAATCAAATCGTTCCTCTCCTCATGATAGAAATGTTATTGTTACTAATATCTGTGAAGGTTTATGTTTACCAAATGTGTTTTCTGTTTTTCAAGTTTTCAAGAATAACACAACAAGGTTTGGTTACATCACTGAAATATCATTTCCTTCCATGTAGCTTTGAGACAGAACAAATTTACAGGTGGACATAAATTCTGCTGAAGATACACAAATAATTGCTTAAAGGTGCACTTTATCCTGCTCTGCTTTCAGTGAAACTGGGACTCAGCTGTGGATGAGATAAGCCTATTACAGCTCGTTATCTGTGATTCTGTACATATGGGAAGTATATATTGCTTGCAGTATAGTAGATTAGTATAGGACTACAAAGGGGCTGGATGACTGAGAATTTACAGGTGGAAAAGGAAAGAAACAGGGATAAGAGAGCGGTGGTGGCAAAGGGAGATAAGACGGCGAGAAAGAGTGGAAAGAGGGAGTGGACGGATAAACAAGCAGGCTGTCGACTTATACAGCTCAAACTCAGGTAGTTGGTGAGAGGTGGAGGGCAAAATGACAGGAGATTTAAAAAAAAGGGGGGGAGATATTTGTACTAGGAGACTTACATTGATTCCTTCCCAGGAAAACTCGGTACGGCCATGCTAGGAAAGAGGGGATGAAGGACAGGAAGGAGAAAAGTACAAGGAGAACATAAGTGCAATGAGTAAAGGAGGGAAGATAAAGATTTTAAAAGAGGGAAAGTGAATTTCACTAATTCTTTTTGTCTGAAATTACAGCAGTCTGAATAGAATGTGAAAGTATTTTTAAAATATTAAATTGGCATTTTATTATTGTGCTTTGCAACAAATGCTTTGACGTCAATAACCTATTTTTCACATACTAAGGTAGAATAATGCTTGACTTGTTTATAATGTTTATAAAACTATTCCAGAGTTTTAACTTATAAAGCAATATGCAGATTAATGGAATGACATCTCACTACATGCAACACATTATGAATTGTTTCTTCTGTCGCCTCTCAATCAGAATAAGCAGAAACCTTTTCATCAATCGAAGCAAAAGCAGTTTGTCTGTTTGAACCAGACGCACAGGCCAGCCTTCAATTGTCACTGTCATGTACATCTTCGGTTCAATTATTGTCAAGGATTTAAAAACGTATCATTCCCTTTGTTTAGCAAACTTGCTTAACAAGTTGTGCCGCTTGTTGAACAAGCCTGAATACTGCCAAGCCTGGAGAAATAAAAATTCATCTAAACAAAACCTGCATGAAGTCATTTAATGAAGCTCTATAAGCAGGCTCAAGCTAAAAATATGTATATATCAAAATGATTAGAAGTTAAGTCATCAATATCCATTAGCCGAGAATGGTTTACAAAGCCATTTCAAATGTATTGAAACTCCATTAACAGTAACTGGAAAAAATATGGAACAGTGTAAAAATTACTCCAAGAGTGAATCAGCATCACTTCCATGAGAGGAGAGACCGTAAAATAATCAAAAACAGCATCTGAATCAACAAAGGGCTCACTTCAACCAATTTTCATTAATCAGCAATAAGAAACACACTGGACAAAAATTACATCAATGGAAGAGTTTCAAGACAAAAAACCTCCTCTCATCAAAAACATAAAAATGCATGTTTAACATTAGCCAAAAAATAACAAACTACAAAGACTTTAGAGAAAATATTCTGTGGCTTAATAAAACAAACTAAAAACTAACAGAATTTCAATGAAAAGGGAAAATATATGAGCAGAAACTATCATAGTGATACTGATAGCCAAAGCCTGTTTTGCTGCTTCAGGGCTCAGTTGATGGAATCATGAATTCTGCTGTCAACCAGAAAATCCTGAAGGAGAATGGCCGGTAATGGCTTGTGACCTTAAGCTCAAGCTTACTTAGGTTATGCAGCAATGGTGCACCACTGAATAGCTGCAAAAGAATGAGAACAAAATGAAGATTGGACCTTAATCCAATTGAGATGTTGCGGTACGGCCTGCAAAAGGCTGGGAATAGGTGTGGGTCACAATAACTTTTTCAGATTGGTTTGGAAAGCTTTTCCCAGTTATATATTATATCATTCTATGAAAAATTGCATTTTGTATTTATTTAGATTTTTTGTCACATTAGAATCTAATAAGCTCACACTTATTAGAGTAAGAACAGTTTAAATGCTTTGTCACAGCCCTGTAGTTGGAAAAGCATCTTGCAGAATAGCATGAGTGACAGAAAAATGTGTAATGATGTAAGGTGCTGTGTTTCCATGTTGCTCTGTCTCTCTTTTTCTCCTCACCGGCCACAATGTTTAGGTAACCAATGGAGACCACTGATTGGTAACTGCATCACCAGGGGCAACAACAAATGTGATGTGTGGCCCGACATGGAAACCATTTGTTTTCTGTCCACATTTACACACAAGTACATGTAAAGTAAGAACACACACACACACACTTACAGAAATTCACAAGCTGTCCTGCACATTCATCACTTTATAGCACTTTGCATTCAGCACAAACACAGAGGACTAACACCTTAACCTGGGGTTTCAGCAGATGCAGCAAAAACTGAAGTATTTTTATACTTTTTATTTTACACTGAGGAACTTCTCCAATGGCACAACCGGTTCACTGACAAATTTTGTCCATTCAGAGCTGCAAATCATCAACTATATGACAAATAGAATGTAAACTTTATGTAAAACTATTTACTACTAGCACAGCTTTTTACCACATTGATATGAAAATTTAAAATTTAGTTTTTATTTTCCAAAGCAATCCCTTTACCTGCATCTACAGTCAAAGTTTTGGATTAGACCCCTTTCTCTGGAGACCACTTTGTCTTGTAGTGATTAAACTCCATCGAGAATTTTTGTTTCTGTAAATCTTAAGATTTCCCTCAGCAGCTGCTTGGCAAAGACACTTTAGCTCCTCGTATCCGTCACGCATAATTGTCAAACTGGGTTCAACTTGCTTTAAGGCCATGCTCCCCTGATTAACATTTTTATCTGGTCTCATAGTCCGGACATGTTTGGCAAAATGAACCCAAGGACAAGTGAAATGACGAACCCAGAATTAATTGTCTTTCTGCAGGCTCCCTTTGCTTTCTGCGCAGCTTCAATGTAAAATTCATGTCAGAGATGTTTGTTTTTCATAGTGAGTCAATGAGGAAAAAGAATTAATCCATCTCTAACAAGAAGCATCCCCTGAGATGGAAAGAGATTTCACAAAGCCTAATAGCTGCCATAAGTCACCTCTGTGGGTGTTTGTTCCTCACAAACACACGTGTACTAATGGGATCTCGGAAAGATGTGGGGAATAGTTTACAGTAGTGCAGTGAGTAATTTTTAATAACGGTTGTGTTACATTGTGGCATTAAAATAAAGATACACTTTCAAAATCTGATTGATTTGATAACTAAGAGAAGGTTTTTATGCTTCTTCCACAGGATCATTAATCTGTTAGACAAACCAGGCAGAAATTCATCAATTATCAATTCTGTTATCCTCTCAAAAAATCAAAACTGTCAGTGCAGTTCATTGTCTGAGATCCATAAATGTCAGAAGCACATTTTGTGGCAATCCATCCAGTAACTTCTGTCTGAACTAGAGTGATCACATCCCCACTAGAAGTCTGCTATATTAGACTTTAATATTAAAAATCCCGCAGGCAGCAGAATGAGCCTTGAATTCCTAAGATCTCTGCTGTTAGGCTTGTAGTCAAAGTGTCCTTGGTAATAATCAATTACCCTGTTAACTTCTGATGATAAATTATTGCCTTTCCGTGCCATGGAGCAGAAAACTGCAGCCATAATCCTTGAAATTATTCTGATAATTCAAATCCAACACAGTTCAAGGTCAGTGTACTGTTTTTGTGATTGAAGAAATTAACTAATATGTGAGAGAGAGGGAGAGGTTTCAATCATGATTTCTAATCATAAGGAGATATCTGAATTCAGCAGTCTTTACCCACACCAAGGACATCTGACTCAACACAGTGTTACGCTATTAGAGAAAGTCCTGTGTCATGACTGCTTTGTAAATGTGTGTAAGTACATTCTTCCCACAGACTCCCTCAAGTAAATAATAGTCGAACTTCACCTTGCAACAATGCTAACAGTGTCTTTTCTTAAGTCAATGAGGGAAAATGAAGCCTCTGTGGGAAAAACCTGCTTTCATTCAAATTCAACAACATTGCCAGCCTCCCAGTAAATAATTTTTTTCAGCTTGCCATGCAATCACAACATTACACTGTTCATTTGGGATTTTGGTTCACCACAGTAAGAGCCCCGCAAGACTCACGTTTTCCTGTGTCCATCATTCAACAATAAAAATAAGATTGGGCAAAAGCTGCTGCTCAAAAAATAACTAGAACTTCTAGAAAAAGTCTTTTAGGAACATTTTTGTTGACTGATGAAACAACAAAATCAACCTTTTTTAAAAGATGTGAGGCTGTTTTGCAGTTAAAGGACAAGGAGAACTTTCTATAAATGGTGGAGACTGAATTCTGCTTTCTTTCAGAAAATCTGAGCGGAGACTGTCCAGCCTTCAGTCTGTGACCTTGTGTCCACACTTGGGTTATGCAAGCAATACTAAACACTCCAGCCAGTACATCTCTGAATGACATGCTTAAATTCAGTGTGGATGTTGTGGTATTTATACCCAAAGAGACTGATATGACCTTGATGATCTCGATATTTTCCAAAATGAAAATTAGTTTTGACAGTAGACAAACTGCTGACACAGGTGTTGTTGGCACAGAATATGTTCTTATTGTTCAGCTCTGGGCATTTGGTTGACCAGATATCTGTGTAAAAATGTCTATTCTAATGGAAAATAGCTATAGTTGCAAAACCATAATGAAATATTTAAGACATGTATGCAATATTTGATCCATATTGATATTTTAAAATATGTATTTTATTATTCTAATGGATAAAACTCAAATTACAAGTCCTCATCAATTCAGGATTATGTAAAATATGATCCATTTCAAGTAAAAGAGAAAATGAAGTGGTTAATCCTTTTATTTTACAAACAAAGCACACACAAAACGACAGTGGCGGCAGTAATCGTGAATCGTTAATTTTTATGTTTCCACTTTGTATCATGTTGCTATTTTTCACATCATAATGTCTGAGCCTGTTTGCACTAAATCTATGTTATCAGTCAGTCTCCAGTGCTTTGTTTGCCCACACTTGATCCTCAGCCTTGTCAGGGTCTGAATTATGTCTCTGATCGCCTGCGTTTCACTCTGTCAAATCCCCACAACACCTGCTGGCCTTTTCCTCTCTGCAGTTCTATAAATTACACACGGGAGAAATGTTTGTGGAAGTAAACGACTTGAAGGCTGCTTTCAGATCAGTCCTCAAGACAAATGGCACTCGATCAAATGGTTTTATTTTCCTGCTCATGAAGCCACTAGAATGCCAACAGTGAACCAACAATTTAAACATGTATAGTGTTTCAGTGGTTCTCTTATTTCAGGAGGTTTAAATGGAAGGACGGAGACAGAAACTACCATTCAGTCATTGATCAAAAGGTAATTTCAGAAGTTTAAAAATGTTACAGTCAGACAGTGCCTTGTAAACATATTTGTACCTTTTTAATCCTTTTTATTTTCTTTTACATTTTGTCATCTTACAACCAGTACTATATTTTCATGCAACACTGTATATCTTCACAATCAAAATAATTGTGAAAATGCAGAACAAATAATTTATTCATGTATCAATTTAAAAAGTGTCATGCATGTCAATTTCAATATGATACCCCTAAATAAAATCCAATGCAAAATTCTCTGACATGCACACTCATGCAAAACATGAAGTGTGGAGGAAGATGTAAACTATACATCATGAATGCAACATATTAATTGTAAAAATGACTAGTAGCCCAGTAGCTCTTGTTGAGAGTCCAACTGAGCTTGAGCCACTCTACAAAGAAGAATCACAAGAGTTTCTGTCTTTATGTACTAAGAGGATGGCAAAAAAAAACTCCAAAAGACTTGCAGCTGCAAAAAAATATACATATATCTTTATAATTATGCATTACTTTGTGCTGGTCTACCTAAAAAATCTCCCAAAATTAAGAAAGGTTTGTGGTTGTAAGCTAAAAAAAGTTGTAAAAGTTCACAGTGTAGGAATTCCTTGTAAGGCATTGTAAAGCTCTGAATGCATTTTAGAATTGAATCCATTACTGTGAAAGCAATTTGTCATAAAATGCAGCAGTCATTCGTGAAAAGTACTGATATAAATGTTTCTATTTGCTCCCCTCCCAGTGTCTTACTCTTCCTAGTCCTCCGTCTCTCTCCAGAGTGCACAGCTGAGAAGTGATACATGGCCCAGTAATAGTCTGGGCCCAAGGGAGAGCAGCTCTGTGGCTTTGGTAAGAGGCTATCAACAAAGACACACCTTCTCAACGAGTCATGCACATTCAGTCACGAGAAAGCAGTCATGCACTCAGGAGACCACGCAGGTTTGATTAATACGGGTGTCTGCAGGTGAGGCAAGTGTTATCAACCCTTACTCTTCTCCTTTTTTCACATTTCCTCACTCAGACACATTCAGTGACTCAGCAGTATTAACCTAAGTCCTAATGCTACTCTGAAGCTTTAATTTAACATTAAAGAAAGTGTAAAAACTGCAAACATTTAGAGCCTTTAACAACTAATTTTATTGGAAATAAAACACTGACATAAAATCTTTGATTTTTGTCATCTTATCTTTTTGATAGTGAGCTGTTTAGTTGTAACAGTGTTTCATCATGACAGCTATATTACTGTTGCACTAAATGTCTGTACTACATTACAATATGAAGCCTGTTTCATTTCAATGAGCCACCAAAGGAAAATAAAAGAAAAAGGTCATGTATATTAAGAATTTGAATCTAATTCAAGTCACTGAGAAGCCAAAATATTCTGCAAAGTTTTAGTGGAAGCATAGAAGATGCTCAATGCAAAACATAAATCTGTCATTCATGATATCAATGCAAATCATAGTTAGACCTCTCACAATAAAATCTTTGCTAAAAGATATGCTGTCCACTTACTTATTGCGCTAAATGATATTGTTGTTTTGAGACCATTTTCAAATAATATATAAACAATGACAACACATAGAGACCCTCTCAAAGACCAGTAAATTTTAATTTTGCAAAAACAACACTTAACAAAATATACAACAACTTAAAACAATAAATAAAATATAAATAAAACCACACAAAATTGAAAAAATGGAATATGTCTCAAAATTGTCCTTTAAAAATTATTAATCATCAAAATGAAAGTTATTGACATAATTGATCATGTGATTAATTGATTTAGTCATATATTGCTTATTGCAATAGGCCCAATCACAATAAACAAAATATGAGATTTTTTCAAATCCCAAATATTTTATTTTAAATGTCAATTTTAATTTAGCTTTGTTTTTTGATAGCTAACTGTAGGAGCTGATTTGGACTGTCAAGCAAATGTTTTTCTTTCTTTTCTCAAAGACGACGACAACCCAGACAAATCGAAGCAGCTACTTCATAAACAGCACTGACTCAGTGGCTCAGTGGTGGGTGAATTAAAGTAAGGCATTGAAAAAAAAACATGGATAATGCTTGAGAGTGATGTCCAAAAGGAGTATATTTTGGAAAAACATGAACATTCACCCAAAAGCTTTAAGAACTATCCTTTTTGGCCCAATGTAAATTACTGCAAAGATTGACAGCTGTCTTAAATACGCTGCCTTTCCTGAACTGCTTCTCTAAGGGCATTGCTGAAAACTTTCCTCCTTGCTATTGTGGTGAAATTTGTCATGTCTTTGAATATTTGGACATAGATTGAAAAGAAGTTAAAGCATGGTTAAAACCAAATGATTATTATTATGCCCTCACTAATGAAACTCCTGGAAATTAGAGAGGGTGAAATATAATTTTACCATAACAGTATCTGTATTTTCAAACAATTGATGGGTTGATCAACATAATACTCTGTTCAATTCAAAAACACATCATTTATCCCAAAGGAAAATTTTATATTGTTGTCACTCATTTCACCAAGGATCTTCAAAGAGTGATGGAGATGGTGACAATTTTTTTACTGTTGATGTCCTAGATGACACCATCTTTGTTGGCAAGCACAGCTAATCCACCTAGTTTGCTTTTAATGATTTTTAATTTTTTTTCCTCTGGCCATATGATTAGAAGGCTTGCCATAGAAATGTTGGAGTTGGGGATATAATCCCTACTCTTTATGATCAATGAAAGAGATGATTTGAACTTCTTCCTTTTCAAATCCAGTATTTGTTGGTACAGGTATTATTTGAGCTATTAAGATGGAAATCACAGTCATAAAAGAAGTCATTGCATCTTAAAAATAATGGCTTTCAGGTAAAAAAAAATAATAATAATAATGAATCAAACAATAATTCAGTAATGTGTGGAGATAAACATATCTTTGCACAGCAAAACATTGTAATTCAGTAAAACTTGTACGTTGGAACTGTTACTTTGATCTTTGGTCCATAGTCTTCATAAAAAATATTTACTTTCTGTATTTTCACAAGGCATTCTTAGGTTCTTCTTGCTCACATCAAGTGGGACTTACAAGATAAGTTGCCAGTTTCTCACATTGTTTATATGTGCAGTCGGACAAGCATTCACACTTCTACCAATTAGAAGTCATTAATTAATTCTGGTGGCACACTTTGGAGAGAAAGTCGATAACATGCAAACTCTAGCCAAAATAGGCTCTGACTCAGCAGGAGTCGTTAGAAGGTTTCAAGCTAAAAAATAAAAAAAAAACTTTCTGGAGAAAATCATAGGTGATAAATGTCATCATCATCATGAGAATTCCTTCTATTTTATCATATTTTGGAGTTTCCTTTCCTGGGAAGTTAACAATATGAAGACTGATATTGAAATAAGGGAAATCTCATGCAACAGACTGAAATGGGGCCATTTGGGGCATTACTGCATGTGCCTTTAACCTGCCGTATGCCAGGACATCCCAATATATTTAATGTTTTACTGGCTTTCTGAAGTCTGCTGTGCCTTACAGACATCTCTAGTGACAGCGCCAGATTCACACAGCAGACACACTTCCAGGCCGCTCTGCCTTCAGCCTATTCATCACTAGTCATATGAATAATCATTTGAATTGAGGTCAGGAAACTGGCTCAGCCTGCTGAGAACATTTCACTGATAGGGCAAAAAACATGTTGGCTGCTTTGCTTGTAAGTTAGACTCATGTTGGCGTGCACTGACCTAAAACTGGATGACTATGACTTAGATAATGCAGAATGTCATAATTTCAAACATGTTAACTCTAAGTTCTTGCTGTTGAAGAGGGTTAATAAAAGGGTGGTCTGTTCAGAGATGGAGGAATTATTCCTTCAGAATTGTCCATAGTGTAAATCTGGACAGGGTTAACAGGTTAGAACAGGGTGATTGACAAAGGGTAGGGGGCTAAAGCAGCTCAGGAAGGATTCATCCTGTAACAGGTGGGTTGTCAGTTCAAATCCCACTCTGAGTTTTTTTTAATACTTATTAGCAAAGTGGAACAAAATGTGATAATGAGTCAGTTCATACATTGATTATGGAGTATTATTTCACATTGACTTAAAGTGATTTTCAAAATTTAACTCATAATCTACAGTGAGGAAATTTGGACACTTTTGTGACTAAAAAAGCATATCCATCGTAAGGAGATCAGTCATAGTGATTCTCTATGACTGATCATAATCTGTTATATTTTACAATAATCAGAAACAAAAAAAAACAGAAGAAAGGAACAATGAGAAAATATTCAGAAAATAATTTACAATTACAAAACTTCTTATGATTATCTATCTCTACAATCAAAACACTTAACCATCAAGTAAAATACACAGATTTGTGATGGGATAGTAAGAAATGGATTGTTATGGTTATGAAATATAAGTAGGTTGGAATGAGATGGTAATGCATGAGTACAAAAAGGTGTAGAAATTGGCATAACTCATTTTTTCTGTGGAAGCAGATCTCTAGTCAACAAAACAGTTAAGCAGAAGTGGATGATTTTGTCCTGTGAGCTGTATTCATGTAAAATGTCAGATATAAAAGAAGGTTAGGCAGACAATAAATGTGTCAGGTGAGTTTAGTGTTTTTATCACTGGAGGCTTGTTGTAAGCTTTGTCCTCAGTCCTCTGGTGCACAAAAGATTCAGGGATGACACATACTGACATAGAAAAAAAACACACACTTCACTCTGAAGGTCTTTCTTTCTTGCTGGTATTGTTGCTGTTTTCAAAGCCTAAATACAGGCAACCATTTCAAGGCAGGGACCTTAAATTTAACATCATGATACAGTTGCCGGGGGATAAAAATGCTTCTCTTTCACCCCTAGCAGAGAATAGACAACTTTCCCACAGATGAATACACCAGCAACCATTTCTTTTGTATTTTTTCAAAAATACTTTGAAAAAAAAATTTAATCAAGACTTATTTGTGCAGAACAAAGGCATGAAAGTAAAGATAGAAGCATTTTACCTGATCCCCATCTTTCCGTACCGGCACCGCGTCTGCTGCTGGAGAGACAAAAAGAGGAAGAAACAGAAACTAAATTGAATGTAAGAATAATTCATTATCAGGAGCATTACTGATGTCAAGTCCTGAGTAGACAACACAGATGCAAGAAAACAGACAAGATAAGCCCAGAATTACTTTGTGTAAGTTGGACACAATAGTGCCGGATGAGGGAGGGAAAGACAGAAATAACGACAGCGAGGAAGATAACAGCGTGTTGAACCAATGTACCCTCTGGCATCATCACTAGGGAAAGTGACAACATTGTCCAGTATTTCTCTCTTAGGCACACACACATGCACACGCACAAAAACTGGGCTTGAATTAGATTAATTATCCATGCTGAGCTTTAGCACACAGAGGGCACAACCAGTGTGAATCATGAAGGTTAGAGTTGATCGAGAAATATATGAGGATGATTAGCTATTCCCAAGGATCTCACAAAAAGTAATGAAAAAACACTTTAATAATTTAGGAGTCCTCTTATAAAAGCATTAACTGCTGTATTATGGCAGAGCCCAAAGGTTACCATGAGATTATATTCAACATGTTACCCACATTACTCCATGAAGACGAGAATGAGAAGTTAGCCATAAAAACACAAAACTCTCTCATGTATACACAGCAAACCAAATCCATCCATCAATTGTCTTCACCAGCTCGTCTTAGCAGGGTTGCAGGAGGGGCTGTCTCCAGGAGTTATTGGGAGAAAGGCAGGATACACTCAGGAAAGACTGACTATCCATCGCCCAGTGAAACACAGAGACAGTACAAACAGCTATGCATGCGTAAACCCGTAAATACAGGCATGCTAGAGTCAGCTAACGTAACAGTAAATATTGAGTAGAGGACAAACAAAGCTACAACCATACTGTTGATAAATAAACATCTTGGATTTACCAAAAAACGAGAGAAATTTATTAGTTTCTTTGTGTTCTATGTGGAGGAAAGTACTGTACTTACATAACCTAAATTAAACAATTACTAAAATTAACCGTCAACATACATTTTCAAGATTTTGAATGAAAACTATAATCTATGTCATATTAACGAATCTCAAAACAACAATAATATTTTTTTTTATATTTTATCATGTAGAAATAGTATTTGATCATTTTCTAAGTTCTTATTTGTGTTAAGACTCATCAACCTTCTAGATTGTGATTTATTATGACGTAGTAGCACTTTGGTAACGGTTTCTGAAACTGAGGACATTTTGTTATGACACATTCATGTTCAGGTTTTATATGTGACTGACCTATTGAATATATTGTATGTTTGGTAGCTCATCGTCTCTATTTCTGACAGTAAATTGCATCTGTAGTGTTTACATGAATGCATCAAATCCTAGATGAACACCAAAACAGGCTGTAATTCATAAGTACAAAGGTGAAGTACATGTAAATTTACCCAGAGTTCTGTGAAGCATGTGAATCACTCAGTATTATGTTTTTCTTGGAAGCGCTGTCTTTTATTGCAGCATTAAGATGAGTGAAAATGAAATGTCTGTCCAGCCGAACACTTAGAGCCAGCTCTAAAATTAGATTAATTATCCATGCCATGCCTTGGCATAGGGGGTCTCAACCTGCATGAGTCACTGATGCCCGTGATGGTGAAGGATATTAGACTTAAGTGGCAATGAAAGGAGAGGCTTTCCCCTTGTTAACACAAATTATAACCTGCACCTATAATATCTAGTGGTGGAAAGAGCTGAGAAAATGCTCCTACAGTGATAACTGGGTCCCTGCTGCAGAACTGAATTTCATTTACTACAAAATTAAGTTCTGCCTGATAAAACCAGATGAGGTCAGTTGTAGGATGCTTAGGTACAAAATTGCTTAAGCTGCTCAATATGAATCTCAGGTAGTTTCAAGTTGGAGTAACCCTCAGCTGCAAGCCCCTGTCACTGAAACACTTAACTGACACCAATTTAAGTATAATCTTTTAACTTCTTGCCTCTGCCCTCTGATGAAATCCTTGATGAAGTAGATTTAAGAGTCAAAATCAATACTGCATCTTGGACTCACTTACCAGTCTCCCTTGTGCAAAGATCCAATAAATTATAGGTATAGTATCCCTAACAAATGGCTGAACATCTACATCAATGCAGTCCACATTGATTTGACGCTACCTGCCAGGTCCCACCCTCACTGAAGGAAAGTGTATTCAGAAGATGGCGCCTAAAAATACTTAAGCATTTATACCTCCTGCACTGGAGGACAAACGTTTCAATCCAAGTAGGTATCAGGAGAACGATTCATAGTGAAGACTGTAGGCAGTGGGAGGCAGGCAGTCATGAATTAATCCTGGACAATATCCGAATGTTAGGATGAGAGACGGAGTCCCCAAAGCACTGGGATGCCTTCAGTATTCAGTTTAACAGTCATATGAAGACTGTAAAATTTTCCCATCTTCTTGTTGATGATTGACATTGCATTGAAAGCTGAATGATACATAATAATTCCTGTCAACTAATGCCGACCTCTGGTTTGGTTTCCAACCAGCTTTCTTTAACTAACTCCTATTAACTCCTATTAAGCATCATACCAGTAGAAGTATTGTTTCTTTACATACAATTTTTTTGTTTTTTAAGCACAATGGCCAGCGATAATCCTAAATTACAAAAATGCTTTAATTCAACCAGGAGAACAAATAGCGTAGCAAAGTAGTAAGAGTGGCAGCAGCGTCTTTCGACATGTAAGCACATCAATCTAGGTGTCAATTCGGTCTCTTCATGTCTCAGTGGATGGATGGGCAGTGGGATGAATTTAGCTCTTTTCAGGGCCAACTTCTGGCAGCAGAAACCCTGGCTTGCAAAAACTTTCAATACATTTGTGAAGCTGAAGCTGCTGTCAAAACTAAGTTGGAAAGCAGCAGCTGTTCTGCAGCTATCTTAATGGGTGTAGACACACTGAGGATTTTATAACCTAAAAATGCTCTCTACAAGAGAAAACATCAAGTTTGTTGCTGGCACAGTTTACAGTGAAGTTGAAAAAGAAAATCCAGGACACAAAGTGGTATTATTCAAAGTACAGAATGGGTTGCAGGGCAAAGGTTTCTAGTTTAACAGAAATTCAAACAGCTGTTTAAAACAGAGCAGAACAGATGCTAAACTGGAAGCAACGAAAAAGGACAATAATAAACACAGACTTTCACAAACTTCAGTTTATGGGAAGTGACCGAAGAACTTAAAAATATAGCAAAATCATTTCTGTCACAACAATGAGTTAGGTTGACTTGTTCAACTTTGCAAGCTCCACTCACAGCATCTTTCCCTGTCTCTGTCTCTCTCCGTGTTAATGAAAGGCATGCAGTCTTAGTCATGACTCTGCTCTCTGTGAGCACATTTGATATCTAACCCAGGGGATCCCTGAAGCCATTTACTTCACACAACATACCCTCATGCACTCAGCCACTTTCAAACAGACACAAACACACACATACTGTAACTCCACCATGCATGCACCTCTGGACCTCTTGAGATGATGGAGCTTCCTCCCAAAGCCACAGGAGAGATGAGAGGGAAAGAGCAGGTGGGGTGGATTAAATGGGAAAATCTTCAAACAACAAACAAAGAACAGGTGGAAGCAACCTGGGGTAGAAATGCTGACACAGACTCATAATAATACAAATTATTACAATTATTATTATTATAGATAAATATGTATTTATTCTCAGTATATGTTTAGAGAATAAATGAATATTAGTATTTATTCTCTAAATACAAATATGTATTTAGAAAATACAAATGATATTCTCTAAAACAAATGAGCTTTTCTGTCAGATTTTGTTTTTCTTCAAACTGTGTCTGTTTCATATTCAGATCAAATCTACTTACACTGGGTGTTAAAAAATTGCTCAGTGTTAATTTGTGAAGCTGCTCCTTTTTCAGTCTTCCTTTCAACCTTTTTTCAGGTCTGGTTTCACCTCTGCTGTGTTTCTTTTTCTCGGTGTATGTAGACTTCTTGCATTCCTTTGTTCAATTTCAGATCTCTGCTGTTGCTTTTCTCTCTTCAGATGTGTTTTACCCTTCACTTCATGCCACTTCCCCTGTCAGATGTGTGTTTCAAGACTAAATACTTTTGCAGTGTGCTGTGTTTTTAAATAAAGTTTCTTTCCTCTGTCTCTACAGAAATTGCAAGTTGGGTCATTCAACTGTAACAATCTGGCACAAAAAAGGATTTTTGCTCCACATTATGAGAAAGGAAAGACAGAAAGAAGGAATAATGCAACAGTGAGGTAGGAAAGTAAGAAAATTTAGACATTGAGGCAGTGCATAGTTTGTAAATAATAGTATTTTATTAATGTATAAATCATATTCTAACTCCAGGTGTCCATACAGTTAAAATGTATTCAAGAGAGCTGTTGTATTTTTCAGTGTTAGAATAATTTTATAGACTTACCGAAAACCTGATAATTAATCACAGTCTGATTGTGACTATAGTTTTTTTTTGTTTGTTTGTTTTCTGGGACTGCAGAGTAATTTTTACTTGTTAGTGTGTAAACATGCAGCTTGGAGCTTCTGAGGTTTGGTACACTATGTGTGAGGCTTTTAACCTTTGAGGGAAAGGTCAGCAGTGTTTGTGCACCAAACCAAAAGCCCAGCTGATATGAAACGGTGGGCCTTCTGTATGACCTCAGATCTAATTTATGGACATGTATGAAAACATGTTTCCACTGATGAATCCTCCAGATAGTTTTCCAAAAAGTTATCAAAAGGTTCAAGGTTTTTGTTCTTTTATTGTTAATTACTAATCAGTTGCGATAAACTGGTGGTCCCCCCTGGTCCTCAACAACTCCCTTACCTTGATTCATTCACACCAGCCCTGTTTCGTCCACTTCAACTCGCAAACTCATTTACCTAGAATATCTGGTTCATTTGGGGAGGTGTGAATGTGTAAACCAACTCTGACGTGGGCCAAAAAATGAAATCTATTTTTCACTTTTGAAAAATAGATTTTTAATAGGTTAAAAACCTAGAGGTTTTGGTTTGTTAAAGTGA